TGAACCCCTCTCACTCTCCCTCCCCTTAAAAAAAAGTTGCTGTCAAGAGATTTTGAATTTTGAATTTTTAGAAGGATATCTAAAGACTTGCTTTAGGTAAGAGGCTAAATCATATGCAAGGGATTCCACTATTTTCTGGCCACATCTCAATGAGGTCAACAAGTCATCCTTTGACCATTTTTAGCTTTTAAAAGTTAACCAGTTTCTCCAGAATTGTCAAGGATTGTCGAGGCAAGCATAGTTGCCCTTTCTCAAGAAGCGATTTCTTGATAGAGCTGTTTGTTTTCATTTCTTAGTGTTTGCTTCCATGGTGTGGCCATGGAAGCCAAGTTCTAGTTCATTTCTTTAATAGTATTTTCCTTACAAAGTACTTGTTCAGTACTTCTTCTTTTCATATGCCATCCCAACATTTCAAGGACCTCATTTCATGTAACCAGGAACTCTAAGTTTCTATCAGTCTTTATTTTGTTTATTTATATATTTAGAGACAGGGTCTTAACTCTGTCACCCAGACTGGAGTGCAGTGGTGTGATCACAGCTCACTATAACCTCAAACTCCTGGGCTCAAGCTATTCTATTGTCTCAGTCTCCCAAGTAGCTAGAAATATAGGTGCATGCCACCCTGCGCAGCTATTTTTAAATATTTTATAGAGACAGGGTCTCACTATATCGCCCAGGCTGGTCTTGAACTCCTGGCCTCAACCGATCCCCTGCCTCGGCCTCCCAAAGTGCTGAGATTACAGGGGTGAACCATGGTGCCTGGCCAAGATGGCTCATTCTCTCTCTCTCTTTTTGGTTTTTGGAGACAGGATCTCACTCTGATGCCTGGGCTAGAGTGTATGGTGTCATCATAGCTCACTGCAGCCTCCAACTCCTGGGCTCAAGTGATCCTCCTGCCTCAGTCTCCTGAGTAGCTGGGACTACAGGTGTAAGCCTTTATGCCCAGCTAATTTTACTATTTTATAGAGACAGGGTCTCACTATATCGCCCAGGCTGGTCTTGAACTCCTGGCCTCAACCGATCCCCTGCCTCGGCCTCCCAAAGTGCTGAGATTACAGGGGTGAACCATGGTGCCTGGCCAAGATGGCTCATTCTCTCTCTCTCTTTTTGGTTTTTGGAGACAGGATCTCACTCTGATGCCTGGGCTAGAGTGTATGGTGTCATCATAGCTCACTGCAGCCTCCAACTCCTGGGCTCAAGTGATCCTCCTGCCTCAGTCTCCTGAGTAGCTGGGACTACAGGTGTAAGCCTTTATGCCCAGCTAATTTTACTATTCTTTTGTAGGGATGTGGTCTCATTATTGCCTAGGCTGGTCTCAAACTTCTGGGCTCCAGCGATACTCCTGCCTCAGACCCCCAAAATGCTAGGATTCCACTGAGCCTGGCTTCATTCTCTATTAAGAGCACTTTAACTTGTTAGAAAATCCATCCCTGACATGATGTGCCTCTTACACATTCACAGTAGAGTATAAAAAGCACATTGTATGATGTTAAATATATATGTGGATGGGAGATATTCTGATCAAATTTTATAATTTCCTTATAAAATCTCAACAGATTTCCTTGGGCTGTCTATTCCTGGCCTGTGGCAGTATCCCAGACCTCAGCCTGGTCTCTCTTCTATTGCTCAACATCATTACTTTTCCTTAAGAACTAAAGTTATAAAATTATGAAAAGCTTAAACAAAATAAAAATTTCAAGAGACACCAGAATTTTAGACAAGGAATGAAATAAAATCAAAATTAAAATAGATTTGACTTTTGAATTAGTACTAAAAGTCTATTTTTCATTCAAAACTACTGAACAGAATTCGAACTATGAAATGCCATTATTATCTTAAATTCGGTATTCAGATAGTTCCATTTAAATATATATTAAATACCAATTAAGAGCTAGGCACTGTCCCAGGTATCAGGGATCCAAAGATGAATAAAAACAATCTTTGCCTTCAAAAAGCACATTCCTACAATCTAATAGGGAAGTTAGCCATGTAAACAAAGAATTAAAAAATACAAATCAGCATATTAAGTACAACATTAATAATACATTCATTATAAGATATGATAAAAGCTCCCTTGGCAGGCAGTGGGAGCTATCAATAAATGTTTCTTAAAGGCAATGATACCTAAGTTTTGAAAGATAAATAGGAATCTTCCAGGAAGGCAGACAAGGAAAGAGAACAGCCAAGGAAATGGGAACAGCAAATAGAAATCACAAGGCTGTGAAAATAATATAGTGTATCAGGGCCACACTTTGCTTGAGCACAGAGTTCCAGAAAGGAGCAATGGAGGTGGAGACAGGATTTCAGTTCACGAAGGGTCTTGCATACCATGCGAATGAGCATGAGCTTTATCTTGCAGCTGACTGGCAACCTCTGTAGGATTCTAGTCAGAGATGTGACAGGACCACATTTTCTTTTCAGGAAAGATGACATGTGGTGGCGTGAGATGCCTGCCAGCTACTCCCAGGCTGCCTGCGCCTCACCAGTCCTTCACGTCCGTATCAACACGCCTGTTACACACTAGGTCTGACTCGAGGCAATGGGGATAGAGGAGTAAACAACAAAGATTTTCTTCCAAAAAGCTTGGTGGAAGAGATACTAGCTTAAATGCCACTTCCTCAGAGAACATTTCTTTGATCATACTATCTAGCTTTTTCCTCTGTTATGCTCTATCACATTACCAAGCTCTTCTAAACTTATCTATATTTTCTAAAATTATCTTATTGGTTTGTTTATGGTTTATCATCTGTTTCTCCCTTTAAAATGTAAAGACAATGTCTGTGTTGTTCTTTTTATTCTCTGAGCCTAGCAGAGTCTGACATACAATGGGTGCTTAATCAGTATTTGATGACTGAAAAAACTCTGTATTCATAACTTACCTTCCTTAAAATTTTTTAGTTTTAGTTTTTTAGACCCAATCAATTTCCCTAGACCTGATTCCCAAGTGTTGCTCTAACCTCTAAGCTAACAGAGTCCTCCTAAGACAGTTATATTAGCATCCATCTCACAGCTTTGCAACTGCTTATGTGGGGCTATCTCGCTCAGCACATGGTGTGTCTAGTGAGAAAGAATCTTGAATTCTTGTTCTTGGTTGTTACCAGAGCTTAGCTTAGCTAGCCCTTGAGGATTTAATAATTCATTGGGTAGTTCTTGAACATCCACTATGTTACAGATAGTCGGGGGAGGGATATAGTGGAGAACACAATGGAAATATTTCTGTCCTCGCAAAATTTACAATTTTATAAGGTGATGCGTATCAGTAAACAGGCAATTACAATACCAGATGATAAGTTCTATGACATGGTAAATGGAGTGTGCCATAGCAGCCATTAGATACAGGCTTGGGCAGTGAGATGAACTTAGGGGAGAATGAAGGGTGAAGTGAATATATATAAAGGCTTAACTCTGGATGCTAAAAGGATGCAATATGTCAAAACAACAACCAAAAAAGAAAAAATAACAATTAGATGGTATTTATTAGGTGCTGGGCATTTTTCCACACAGTTTATACACACTACTAAATATATATATTATTAATTGGTTCAATCGTTATAGCAATCCCATTGGATGCATATTCATATCACCCTCACTTTACAGAGGAGGGATCAGCTAAGGAAAGTCTTCAAAGTCACACAGCTAGTAAGGTACAGAGGTAAGAGTTGAACCTGGGCAGTTTGGGTCCAGAATCTGTGTTCTTAACCTCTATACTATACTGTTTTCTCAAAAGTACTACCACTTGTTTTTCTTATTCTATTTCTTATTTCCTGTAATAAGAACTATTTATTTTTTACACATGTTAATGTTTTCAATAGCCATCACTACCAATAACTGATTAAATAAAATTAGGTTCTTTTCAACTCAGAGATTAAGAAATGGATAATAGTTTGTAACATTAAAGGTTAAATAATTATTACCAAATGCCTGAAAGATACATTTGAAGAAACACTAAGTTTGACTTATGGTTTAGTTTACTTCTTAAAACAAAAGCATCAAATAGAAAAAGTGGGCCAAAGATCGTGTGGCATTATCTACTAACGTTGAATGTACACATAATGCAGTACATGATATGGCAGTTCTACTCCTACACATCAACTCTGAAGAAATACACATATATTCCCCCAAGAGACATGCACTAGAATGTTTACAGCAGCCCTGTTTGTAAGAACCCTAAACTGGAAGCTACTCAAATGTTCATCGACAGCAGACCCAGTAAATAAATTGTGTTACATACCACAATTGAATATTAAACAATAATGAGAATGAATGATCTACAATCATAGTTAACAACATGGATGAATCCCACAAATAGAATGTTAATGAAAGAAGCCAAACACACAAGCATATATAACTATGACAACTACCTGACTATGACTGTACTAGTACACGACTCCATTCATATCAAGTACAAAAACAAGCAAAACTAATCTGTGCTGTCAGAAGGCAGAAGAGTGGTTTCCCATGACGTGGGTGAATGGAAGAAAGCATGAGGGGGCTTACAGGGAGTTGGTGATGCTGTTTTTTGAACCAGGGGGTGGTTACACAGTTGTGTTCAGTTTGTGCAATTTCATTAGATGTACATTCATGACATGTATACTTTTTTGCAAATATGTTCTCCATTAAAAAGAAGTTGATATTATTTTTAAACATATGGATTATGATTTTTAATGAATTTTGATGAATTTAACATAAAGGGAAACAATTATATTATCATCATCATCTAATATTAATGTGGCAGGTACAATAACATGTTAAGTTTTACCTGGACAAACTCCCTTAATCCTCATAAATATCCTGCAGAGACAGGCACAATTGTTAGCTCCACTTTTTGGTGAGAAAACTGAAGCTTGGAGAAGTTAAGTAATGTGTTAGAGCGGAAAACCAAACTCAGACAATCCTAACCCTAGAGAATACATTCTTAGCCACTTTGCTATACTAAATTTTCAGTGAAGGAGGAATTCAGTCGGCTATTGGGAGGCAAGAGACACACTGGTAGTAAAACTTATTCCACACAAATGTTAACCTGTATTATTTTCCAAATGGAACCTCCAATTAGAAGAAACACTAGTCATATGAAAGTGTAGAAAGCAATAGCCTAGACAGTGTGTTGTGCATAATCAAAACACTCTCATTACTTGCAGCATATTCATTCGTGCCTGAGAAAATATAAATGTTAAGAGGGTGCCTAAAAATAAATTCTATTTCTCTAAGTCAGTTCTGTCCCTTAAGACTTTTTACTCGAGTAATATAAAGTATATGTTTAATTTAAGAAAACACAGCATGGCAGAAAAGTAGCAAACTTTTCTGTACAGTTAAATGTTTACTATTCTATGTCAGTGGACCCTATCTGAGAATAGGCTGATGACTCACGTTCACAGTACAGAGTTACCAGGCAATTTTATGAATGGAAACAGAACAAATGCATTATGTAAAGTTGTAACAAAGGTAACACAAGGGAAAATAATTCCATAATCAGTTAAAGCATTTGGTAATTTACCAACATTAAATTTACCTCTTTGGAGGGGGAAGCGGGAGATGTGAAAATTGTCATCCAATAGGACCATACAAACATAACAAAGAACAGATGGAAAGCCACAAGGTAAACAACGGTCTTTCCTGGTAAATAAAAACAAATAATATTTCATTGAGTCCAGGTGAAAACAGGAAAAAGCATTACATTAAAACACAATATATGGGTCAAGAGGCCTAATCCAATAAAAAATTTAATTAAAACCTATTGAAACATCAAGTATATAAACTTTATCTACACAACGTAACATTACTAGATATGAAGAAATATTCTGTTCCTACATTTAAGGATTATCAGCCTGGTTTATAAGTAAAAATGAGATTTGAGATGAATTTTCATTTTATTAAGTTGCTGAAGATTTAAGCTAAAACACTTTCTTTACTCACTATATTTCAAGTTTTCCCTAAAAGTTAATTTTAAATGACCTAAAAATTATTTAAAACAGAATCTATCCCCAAGAACATTAAATCCAAGGAACTGTAAACTGAAAGTAAGTAAAAGTTATCATCACCATGAATAATGAATAAATCTGAATAACTCAATCCCTGTGTTGTTCAAAAAAGTACCCTAAATTTCATTCCCCTGTTCAACACAGGCTAAAAAGAAAAATTTCTACCATTAACTGTTTCCCAAGTGTAACATTCCAACATCTTTATCTCCAAACTTAACTCACTTTAACATTTTTGTTCTGTTCTGTAGTTTTTCTATTTGAAAGAAGCAGGACTGGTTTCCACAAGAAGCAAGAATTATCTACCAGGTGCTTAAACTCTTTCAGTTTGGAATGCAACACCACAAACCCAGTGAGGATAACAAAATTCAGACAAGCATCAAAGTATGAAATTCTCCTCATTTT